CCAAGCATAAACAAGCAGCCCCCAGAGAAGAGGAATGGTAATCGTGTGTCCAGCCCTACTCAGGGGCTCGGAGCAGTATCACTTCCTCTAGGAAGCCTTCCTGGATCTCCCAGGCTGGGTTAGAAGTCTCCTCAGGCTCCCACATCCTTTTGGTCTCCACTAATGCCACGCTGATATGATCTGTACACTTTCACTCATTTATACCACAACTACGCAAATTTGTGGAGCATCTCGTATTTTCCAGGTTAAGTGCTGGGAACAGAGCTGGAAACAATAACTATTATCTACCAGGGCAGCCTGACAATAAGTATAAACCTGTTTGGATTATCTACTGCTGTGTAACAAATATTCCAAACCTTCCAGCTTGAAATAACAGCAATCATGGTCTTATCTCTCACCACTTCCGTGGGTAAGGAATTGGGAAAGGGCGCAGCCGGGCGCCCTGGGCTCAGGCTCCCGCATGCACTGAACTCACCCAGCAACTGGAAATGGAACAGCACAGGATGACTGGCAGCTGGGAGATGGCTTAGCATGGTTCTCAGATTCGTTCCCAGACTCATCTGCAAGATGTCCCCCAACCTGTCATAACACTAGCGTCACTTCTGCACACTGCATTGGTTGCGGAGATTCCACAGGTCCACCCAGCTCAAAGCAGGGCTTCGGATCTCTTGATTTGGTTGCAGGAGTTGCAAAGTCACACCAAAGAGAAGCGAGTGGAACGAGAGACATAGAGGTCCTTCAAAAAGTGATGGAGACTGGGCCAGCGCTGTGGCTTGGCAGGTAAAGCCACTGCCTGTGATGCCAGCAACCCATATGGGCACTGGTTTGTGTCCTGGCTGCTCCACTTCTGATCCAGTTCCCTGCTGGGAAAAGCAGCAGAAAATGGCCCAAATGCTTGGGCCCTGTACCTACATGGGAGACCCAGATGAAGCTCCTGGCTCCTGGCTTCAGCCTGGCCCAGCCCTGGCTGCTGCGGCCATCTGGGAAGTGAACCAACACATGGAAGATTCTCCCTCCCTCCCTCCCTCTCTCTCTCTCTCTCTCTCTCTCTCTGGAACTCTGATTCTCAAATAATTTTGTTTAAAAAAAAGTGATAGAGAATAGTTAAATTTGGTGCCAAAAAATGTGAAATTTGGGGCTGGTGTTGTGGCTCGGGGGGGTTAAGCCACCACCTGTAATACCAGCATCCCCTATCATAGCACTGTTTCAAGCCCCAGCTGCTCACTTCTAATCCAGCTCCCTGCTAATGCACACCCTGGGAGGCAGCAAAAGATGGTGCAAATAGTCGCGTGCCTGCCACCCACAGGGGAGACCTGGGTTGCATTCCAGGCTCCTGACTTCATCTTGGCCCACCTCAGGCTGTCGCAGGCATTTGGGGAGCCAGCATATGAAAGATTCTCTTTCTCTCCTTTCTCTCTCTCTCTCTCTCTCATAAATAGAAAATAAATTTTAAAAAATTTAAAGCAGTCAGCATTGTGGTACAGAGAGTTAAGCCACTACATGTTAACACCTTCATCCCACATCAGAATGCTGGTTCAAGCCCCAGTCACTCCACTTCCAGTCCAGCTCCCTGCATCCCTGGGATGCCCTGGAAGGCAGCAGAAGACAGTCCAGTGCTTGGGTCCCTGCACCCATGTGGGAGAGCAGAATGGAGTCTCATTTCCTGCTAGTGGGTGTGCAAGATGGCTCAGCCATTCCAGGAAGCCACCTAACAACATGCAGGAAAATGAAGTAGGTGTGTGTCCCACAGGGCAGCCATTGCATCCCGGCTCTCCCAGGGAACTCTCCCAAGGGTCCACAGTGAGTGGGGACCAGCGTGCTCGGCCAAGGACTCAGGCATGAGAGGAAGAACCAGGAGCAGCAGCGATGCCCCTGATGGGGAGAGCAGGTGCAGTGAGGACGCTGCACAGAGCTGGGGGCGGCCACAGAGGGACGGGCTCAGGTAAGGGAATCCATCACAGCGGGCGTCACGGGAAGCACAGACTAGGAGCGGGCAGGGGGAGAGAAGGCAGGAACACAACGTGTGTTATGTGCTTGCTGTGAGCAGGGCACCAGGCTCAGGGCTGAGCGTCAGCTCCTCCAATCTTTGGTAGGTTCTATTAATAGCTCCATTTTTTCAGATGCACAAGCTGAGGTTTCGAGAGGCTGCTCCATTCCCCAGAGTCACCCTCTGGGCGTGGGCTGAGTGGCGGTGCCAGGTTTTGACCCAGGTCTCGGTCCCCATGCTGGCCTCCTCCTTGCCTGCGTTCACCCCAATGCCAGCTCTGCAGAACAGAGTTTGGCTTGTCCACCTGATTCGGGGGCCATGGCCCCAGCTTCCACACAGCCTCCACCTTCCCTCTGTGTATCTCCCTGCACCCCAACAGCAGCTTGAGCCCCTCCAAATCCAGCCCAGCACTGGCCAGCAGCCACCAACTCCCGAAGCCGCCAAGGCAGGGCTGTCCGAGAGTCAGTGGCTCCCACCTGCTGGGACACCATCTCCCATTCTCCTGGGGCATTCCAAGCCCTCCCCAACTGGACCCAGCTGCTCTGGACAGCCTCCCATTCCCTCTCTGGTTTTTGTTTTAAATATTTATTCATTTAAAAGGCAGAGTTACAGAGAGAGAAAAAGAGTCAGAGAGAGAGGCAGAGACAGAGAGAGATATCTTCCATCTGCTGTCTCACTCCCCAAATGGCTGTGATGACTGGAGCTGGGCTGATCCGAAGTCAGGAGCCAGGAGCTTCTTCCGGGTCTCCCACGCAGGTGCAGGACCCAAGCACTTGGGCCATCTTCTACTGCTATCCCAGGCTACAGCAGAGAGCTGGATTGGAGCAGACATAACTCGAACCAGCGCCTATATGGGATGCCGGCACTGCAGGTGATGGTTTTACCCGCTGCACCACAGTGCTGGGCCCCTAATTATTTCTGTTCATGCTTCTCCCACCAGCTCTGCACGCTGTGGACGTGCACGCTCGCCTTGACAGCCTTCGCTGGAGGGACCACTTCCTCCTGGGAAGTCTTCCTGAGGCCGTCCCGGTGACACCAGGGACCAGAGCACAGCATGGCCAGCCGTGGAGGGCTATGGACACAGACCACACGGGGCAGGTTCTGCTCCTGCCTCTCACCAACTGGGTTCACTCACTCTTTAAAATAATAACAAACAGCTTTATTTCTGAGTTTTCTCAGACATAAGTACCATACGCTTTAGTCTGTGTGTTTTTCTAAAAATCGATGTATGGGGGAGCGGGTATGCACCTCACAGTCGAGACGCCCACCATCTGTGTGAGGGTACCTTGGGCTCAGGCTCTGGCCCTGGCCCTGACCAGGCTCCTGCTAACGCAGACCAAGAGCAGCAAAGATGGCTTAGGTGATCAAGTTCCTGCTGCCCACGTGCGAGACTGCAATTGCATTCCCTCAGCACAGCACAGCCCTGGCTGTCAGGCATCACCCACCCGATGGGAGCTCGCGTCCTCCCCCACCCCCACCCCCACCCCCCATTCCTCTGCCTCCCACATAAACAAACAGGCTTTTTTGTTTAAATGACGTATGATCTTCAAGCACAGGAATCTGCCGAGTTTTGACAGATACCTTTGTCGTTACTCATCAGAGTCACAGTTTCCCCATCTACAAAATGGGCTGACATGGAGCTTCAGGGCTGTTGTAAGAGAGCAAACTAACAGGTGGTGAGGGGCAGGCGGCCAGTGTCTGTCACTGCTGTCACTCACAGGCGGTGCACGCGGTCTGCAGCACTGGGTAAGGGCAAGAGGGAGGTTAAACTGCCGTGATCAAAGATGCACAAGGCCTTCAAAGGGGGACACAAACTCCGCTTGGTGGCTTCCTGGAGAGAGGGACGCCTCGGTGGCACCCCGAACAGGCCAACATCGCTGGGAACAGGTTCCTGGGCCAAGCAATCGGTGCAGGCCACGGACCTGAGGGGTGCAGGGACACTGTGTGCTTGGGGACCTGCAAATGACTCAGCCGGCTGAGGGGCCGTGGAGGGCTGTGGATGGAAGGGGTGGGAATGGCCACGGAGCAGGCCACGACTGAGGCAGGAAGCCAATCAAAGGCTGCAAGCAGGACTACAGGCCTGCCCCGGGGTGGGGTCCACCCGGAAGTTCCCTCCGTGCTGTCTTCCTCCTGTCTAGACCCAGCTACTTCCTGTCCTGTCGGAACAGGAGCCTCATGGATTCTTCCGCAGCCCTCCTGGCCCTTCACAGGGTGAGGGCGGCACTGGATTTCAGTCAAATTCAGTGGCTCAGTTCTGGTCCCAGTGGCTGGCTCCCAGAGACAGGGAGGCTGTTCCCAGGGGACACCCCAGGCCAGGGCTCAGAGGCCATCCCTCGGCTCCTGGGGGCCGCCTGAGTCTCACCACTGTTTCACCTCACACTTGAGCCACACTGTCCTGTCATCCCCACGACGGTCCAGCTCCGGTTCATCTAGCACCTGCCTGCAGTGGTCACTCTTCGGCACCGTCTGCCCCGTCCACCTCTGTGTATGAACCAATCCCTACTCTTCCCTCGGGACTGGGCATGAGCATCACCTCCAGGGAGACTTCCCCCATCCACCCACCCCAAGAAGGGTCCGCTTAAGACCCCATTCATTTTTTTAAGAGTTATTTATTTACTTGAGAGGCAGTTGCAGAGAGAGAGAGAGAGAGAGAGAGAGAGAGAGAGAGAGAGACCTTCCATTGGCTGGTTCACGCCCCAAACGGCTCCAGAACTGGGCTGATCCAAAGCCAGGAGCTTCTTCCAGGTCTCCTGAGTGTGTACAGGGGTCCAAGGACTTGGGCCGTCCTCACTGCTTTCCCAGGCAAATCAGTAGGAAGTGGATTGGAAGTGGAGCAGCTAGGACACAAACCAGTGCCCATATAGGATGCCAGCCCCAAAACCTCATTCTGCTAACAATACCCCCTGTTTGCTGTGCAGGGAAGGGCTGTGGTGTGGACCTCAGTCTCTCCAAGGCCTGGCAGGTGGGCTTGACTGTATGACAGCCTGGGCAGTCACACGCAATGTCACAAAGACTCTGGTCACAGCGGTGCAGGTGGTGAGGATGGCGCAGGGAGGCAGCAGGACAGGCTCGGGGGGCAAGAAGGAGGATCAGAGGGACTGGTCTGGAGTCCCGGGGAGACCAGCAGGTAGGGGACTGTGATTCCAGAAGCTGTTGAGGGATGGAGAGAAGGAAAGGGCTGGAGATACTGAAGGGGAGAGGGGACGGAGCTGGTGCCACCGGGTAGCTGGAGGGCAGTGGGAAGAGGGAGGGACCCAGATGACTCCCACGTCTCTGGGGAGAGAGGGAGGCAGCCAGCAGCTCGCTCGGACACCAGTTACCCTGGACACAAATCGCCTCCAGGGACCTGGACCCTGCCAGCTCCGAGCTGCAGCCTCCGACTGCGGCTGTGGCGGCAGCAGCCAGCAGCCCCCCCACCCCATCTCCCTAGGGACTGACTTGCCGCTTGGCTGGCTCCCTGCCCACGGCTCCCTCCCGCAGCCCGCGCTGCGCCTGCCAGGAGCGGAGGGGAGGGGCGGCTGCGGGAGCCCGGCAGGGAAAGCAGGAGGGGGGGAGTGGGAGCCAGGCTGGCAGACCCCAGAATCCAGAGGGAGAGCGGGAGAGGGCGTGGCAGGCAGGAGTGCAGGAGCCCCCCACCCCCCCCACTGTGGTCACCAACCCCAGGAGCTGCAAGGCACCTTCTCCAGTTCCTTGCCACCTCCCCATTTCAGAGATGGGGACACTGAGGCCCAGAGCCAGCAGCTGTTGAGTGGCTGGACCCCGATTTTCAGCAAACCCCACCCCCCCGCGGGCCCCCCCCTCCAGGAGTGGAGAACGCGGCAGGGAGGGGTGCAGAGCACAGGGCTGGGCTGCAGCGTCCCTTCGGTCCAGAAGGCTGTACCCAAGCACAGGGGTGAGTTCTCAGCTAACTGAGCAAGGCGGGTGGCTCTGGTACTCCACTGGCACCATGGGGCTGATAATGCTTTTCTCAACAAGTCCTCGCCATGGGGACGAAAGACAACTGAACTCCCAAATCCACGGCACCCCAGATGGAAACCAGGACTGGGGTCAAAGCCACGACCCTGAGCACGTTGCTTCTCACGCTGGGCCTCGGTCTCCCCGATTGCCCACTGAAGAGACTCTACACAAACATCTTAAAGGCCAGGCCTATCGTTGAGAGCCTGCAGATGCACCCCATATACTCTGCCCAATTTCAAATTCTAGGGCAGAAATACAAATCCCATCAACCGTAATATGGCCCTCGTCCCCAAACCTGGCGCTCGAGAGGTCCACACGGTGGTCACTGCGGCCGCCGCAACGCTGCGGACACAGCACCCGGGACCAGACCCAAACCCCAAACCTTCGAAGACCCCTCACCGCCCCGGCTACGACGAGCCGCCTCCAAGGGCCCCTAGGGGGCAGTGTTGCCCCGAGCTTAGGCTGCGCCGCCGCCGTCCCCGCCCCAGCGAGCGCCCGAGAATACCGAGTTCTGGGAATGCGGGCCACCCCCGGCACACTCGCCGCCCCCGCCGCGCCCCAGCCCCGGGGGCTCCCGCGCCGCGCGCAGCCCGCTCGGTGCGGGCCGGCTGCCGGCGGAACGCCGCGCGCGGGGACCCCGTTAGTGTTTGGGTCTTTATTGCAGGGCTGGGGGCACTTTGCAGCCCAGGCGGCTCGCGCGGACGGGGTGGGTATGGCTGTGCTCAGAGATCCGTGGGAGAAGCTGGCAGGGCGCAGCGGCTTGTTCTCCCGAGAACCTGTCAGCGGCCTCCCCGTCACCTCTATATCCCGCAGTGCCTCCCCCAGACCTATCTCCAGGAACCCTCCCCTCCCCGACCGCTCCGAGACGCGCCCCGGGGCGAGGGGTCCAGGCTACAGCGCTCAAGGTTCCCGACCCCACCACCTACCAGCAACGGCAGCAGCCTCGCCTTCCCCAACCCCAGAGGCCGGGACGCAGCCTCGACCTGAGGGGGCTGCAACTGGGGGCGATTTGTGCTGTGCCCACCACCCCCCACCGCTCCCCCAGTGGGGGAGCCATGGTCAGGGGCCGCAGTGGAGGCGGTCAACGGAGGGAGAGCCCCGCTCAAGTTTGCTCCAACAGTTTAGGGGGGGGGGATTTTAAAACCCCGGGCCCACCGAGCAGACTTTTTAAAAAATCATAATTGAAAACATCTCGAAGTCGGGGCCGCCAGAAGCGGGCCCGCTCCCCGCCCCCCGCCCCATCCCCCTCCCCTGCTCCCCGGAGTCCGATGAAGTCATGATAAGTAGGCTGCAGAAAGAAAAAAAAAAGTGGGGGGTGGGCTGCAGGGCCTGGGGGGCACGGGGGTCCCGGGCTGGGGCCCCGCGCGGACACAGTTTGGATACTATGGTTACGCGATCCGACCCAAACAGCGAAGGCGCACAACAATAGCGGCCGCCAGAGGAGGAAATTCCTTCCGGGGTGGACGGCGCGGGGGGAGGGGCGCCTGGCTGGAACGCCGAGGCGGCGGCTCGGCCAATCAGCGCGCGGCCGCCGGCGGTTTCAAGGTGCCCCGCGCCGCGCTGCCCCCCGCCCCCCGCGCGCTGCGCTCGGGCGCTGGAATTGCTGAGACGTTTCCCCGCACGCGCCCGGGTAACCCTGCGGGGGCTGCTGCCCGGGCCGCCCCCCGCCCGCCGAGCCCGCCGCCCTCGGAAGGCCGAGCGTTCCGCTGCAGGAGCTGCTGGAGCTCGGGGGAGGGTGGGGGGGGGAGAGAAACCCCTACACACCAGCCCCTGCCTACGGGCTGATTCCTGCACAAGCCTGTTTTCTATTTTAAAGCATGTCTCAAGAAAAAAATGAGAGAGGCAAAGAGAGAAGGGAGCAAGGAGGGCCACCCCCAACTCAGGACTCTTGTGAGGCTCTGATCCCCGGCTCGCTGGTCTCGGGGGCTATTACAGAATGAGCTGGGTTACTGATAGTGGCAGTTTTGCCCGGGCATCCGGGGTGCAGAGGTGCAAGGGCGAAGCTGACATTCGCAAGCCCCCACCACCGTCACATTAATGTGACCTGCCGTGGAAGGGGCCGCAGGAACCACGGGCTCTGCCTAGCCCCTGACTCGGGGTTGATGGCAGTGCTCAGTGGGGAGACTGTGCCCGCTTCCCCCCCACCTGCAACGGACTCTGTGCCCGAGACCCCGGCCTGGCACGCGGTGTTTTCCTGCCCCCTGCCAATACCCTAAGCCGGCCTGCTGGGCACTGGGAGCACCCGATGGGTCCTGTTCCTGTTTGAAGCTCCTGAACCAGGTTTCTGCTTCCTGCTGCTTTCTGGGCACGGAGCACCACTTCCATGAGCAGTGCGTGCCTTTTCACTCGGTGCGTAGTGAGAGCCTCTGGAAAGATCTCGTGTTCAGAAAGTATTTTCCGCCCTCCCACTTTCTCTCTCCCTCTCTTCATATATAATGGGGATAGCCCTAATTCTCCAGTTCCCCGTGTGTCTCTTTATAAATAAAGAATGAGATTTTATTAATTATGCACGTACAGTATCTGCAAGCAGATTGCTCTGTCTCTTGATGCTTAATAAAGAAAAAAAAGGGAAAAACCCTCCACACTGAAGCTGGGTTTTTTTTCCCCTGCAAGCAAACAAAAACTTCAAGGAGCCATATGTCCTCCAAGAGGGGAGAGGAAGGCAGAAGTTGGAGAGAGCATGGTGGGAGGGATGAGGAGGGGGCGCTTTGCAGGTCTTCCAGGCAGCTGAAGGCAGATTTCCAGTTGCCTGCCTCAGGTTTGTGTTTGAACTGCCCGTCTGAAAACACACCAAGGCTGGCCTGGGCATTTGTGCGCGGGGCGGGATGGGCAGCTGTTAATAGTAAACAGGAAACCAGCGAGCAGAGAGCTGGCGGCAGCCCCATTCCTCCTCTCAGTCCTGCCCCTCCTCGGAGCCCCTGAACCCCAGAGCTCTCAAAACACACTTAGTGTCTGGGCATTCGTGCCCGGCACAGTTCCTGGCACACACTAAGGGCTCGACCCCTGTTTGCCCATGGAATGGTTGGATATGGAAAAGGAAAAGGGGCAGGGGAATGCTTGCGCAAGTGGTGGGGGCTCCGGCTGGGGCTCCATGCCTAGGAGGGGCAGGAGTTGGAACTTCTCTCTCTGATGAGCCGGTCGGGATGGGGGCCCCTAAGGTTTCTGGCCAAGGAGATGAGCCAGCAGAGCACTGCAAAGCTCCAGGGGACCAGAGAGGCACAGGCACATCAGTGAGTAGGCAGAGCCCCTGTGGCCAGAGAGACACACACAGAGGGGAGGTGGGGGCGTGGCACACGGAGGGCAGGGGGTCCCGGGAGAGTTTGGGTTGAACACATTCTGGTTCCAGTTGGGAACAGGGACTGGAGTGACACAAGGACTTCTGCAGACTGGGCACCTTCAGCTGACGTTTGCAAAGCAGGGGAAAGAAATTCAGGACCCCACAGGAGCTGCCTAAAACTTCCCACAGAGTGCTGCGTCCAAGGCGATCGCAGGGCTGCCGAAGGTCAGGGGCCAGCCAGGGGTCCCGCAGCCAGGTGGCTGCTGGGGGGCCGGCGGGGGTGGGGGTGGACGCTCCATCCCATGGTTTCCGCACCACAGCCCCTCGCGGGGACAGACGGCCTCTCCCCCAGCCTGGGGCCCACCAGGCTTCCCGAAAAAAGGGTGAATGACACTGGGTGTGCGTTGCGCAAGCTCAGAATGTTTTTCTGAAGGGAAAGACTGGATGCGGTGTCTCCTGCCTATGAGAGGCCGTGTTCCACCGAGGAGCTGAAGCACACGGGCGAGATGGTGCTGGCTGTGCTTACCACACAGCAGTCAAGCTCGGTCTTGTTGCCCGAGCCCTGGCATCCGCGCTGTAATTTGGGGAGCACTTAGTCTCCCGACCGTGGGTGGGGGCGGCTGTCTGACTTCTCTATGCATCCTCCTAATTAAAAAGAACCAGGATCCTTTCGGCCGACGTGTTAAAGGTCATCTCCTGCACTGAAGGAAACACAGGCGTGCGATGCTTTCGGGGCTTGGGGAGCTGGGACCCAGATAGAGCATGAGCCCACCAGTCGGGAAGAGTCACGCCCTGATATGTGACCTTGGGCCAAGCCCTTGGTCTGCCCATAGACCGGAGGCTGGGTGAAGTTCAAGGACTTTCTTGTTCTGTCATTGTAAGTGATGGGCCCAAGGGGGCCTCGGGTCACTGGAGTTGGTGCCTGACCCCAAGCCAGCCACCATGCCTGTGTCCTGCCCCACTTCCGGTTGTGAATGGAAGTCCCAAACAGCAAACCACCTCTAGACCACGAAGGTCCCCAAATAACCAACAGGTCATTTCCCATAGACAGCGTCCAAGCAGCAACACCGTAGGGTCAGAAACTACCCAGGCTGGAAGGCCACCAGGTCCAGAGCACTGAGGATCTACCCAGGCCCTCTTCAACATCCCAGGCTAATGTCTATCCAGTCCCCTGCTTGAATGCCACAAGTGACAGGGAGCTCACTACCACCAGTTATAAACACTTTAAAAAATAGATTAATAATTTATTTGAAAGGGGGAGAGAGAGAGAAAAAAAAAATCTTCCATCTGCTCATTCACTCCCCAAATGGCTACAACAACCAGGGTTGGCCCTCTGGAATCAGAAGCTGCATCCAGGTCTCCCATGTGGGTGGCAGGGGCCCAAGCACCTGAGCGATCACTGGCCACCTCCCAGGGTGCACATTAGCAGGAAGCTGGCTTGCAAGCAGCACAGCTGGGACTCCAACGGGCACTCCCATATGGGATGCTGCCATCACAAGTGGTGGCCACAACACCTGCCCCACCTATGAACTCTAGCACAGGCCATCCCAGCTATTTGCTGCTCGCGTCTGCCAAGATGTCCTGCAAACCACTCAAAGTCAGGGTGCGCTCAGATGGAACTCTTGATGTCATTAACAGTCCTGCGTGTCCCTCTTCTTGCTAGGCGTGCTGGCTCGGAAAACTGGCACCTGCAGCCAGAAACTTGGGAGCTGTACTTGAACCCCTCAACCTCTAGCCCGCCAGTCTCCAAATCCCAGCGTCCACCTGCTTACCAAGTCCCTGCAGCTGGTCCCCATTCATCCCCGTGGCCCTGCCGTCACCCACCCTGCCTCAACTGCTCTTCTCTCCTTAGTCCCTTACAAATCATTCCCCCACTGCCTGCAGGAGGGCTCCCTCTGAAGCCTGCACCAGAAGACAGCATTCCTCTGCTTATAAATACACAATGACCCATGTTGCCCACACAACCCAAGCCCAAATTCCTTAGCACATTATTCAAGG